CCCCGACGCCTTCGAAGCCTCCCTGCGGCGCGCAGCTCAGCTCGGGAGCGCTGCAGCACGCCCTCTCCCATCCCAGGGCCTCCCTCTTCCTGGCTCTGCACAAGTTCTCTCTGGCGCGGTGAGGGTGCTCTCCCGAGCCCATGCAGGAAGGCTGTCTGTCACGACGTCGAGCGCTAGGGCGCCCCGCTACAAGAACAAGGCCCGAGGGGAACGGAACGCCAACACGCCTTCGGCCCCGCTGGAGGCTCTTGGCATCCAAGTGAGCAAGACAAACAGACCGGCATGGCCCTGCAACAGGAAGCGGCAGGATTGGAAGTGTCAGAGACATGTCTGCTCTACCTAGAGATCAAACAATACTTCGAATGTATACCACCCTCGGAGACAGATTTTGAAAACAAAGCTTCCTCCATCTGTGTAAATGCTTGGATGTCGAGTGCCAAACTCAATATCTGGGAACCTTTCAGCGGAAGCGATGTCTTGAAAATCCTCCGCCCTCCATCCGCCCATTGTTTGGCTTACAAAAACGGAGGAGCCCCCACGTCACAAAAGGCACAAGTGCCAGACAAACCATCCGCCTTTCGTGCGAACTTGAGCAGACTTGCTATAAAGCCAAGAACAGTCAAGAACATCCCCGGCATTGCCCCAAGACCAGCCACGAGTGCCCCATGATTGCCCTCAGAGGGCCCTAAGACGGCCCCACAGAGGCCCAAGACGGTCCCTGGGATGGTGCCCAAGACAGCTCAAGAACACCTGGACTGCCTGAGATCAAGACTAGCTGCTAGCTGCAGCTGGCAAGGTTAGCGTACACGTTCCTGAACCTTGAATGCAAATCCTGCCAGGCAAGCCTCATTTGAGCCTCTATGCCTGGAAAATACCATATGTCTCGGACGCTAGATGTAAGCCGTGTTGGGACAAACGGCCAAAAAGGCAGTGACAGGCTGGTCGCCAAGAGTTACACATGGCCGCATTCCTGGCGAAAGTCTAGAAGTAGCTGACATTGCTCCCCTCGCCTGCAACCTATACTCTTCCCTGGCAGCCCGTTTGCGAACAAGGTTCGTTGATAATCCGCATAGCACGATGGAACAGCCCTGTGCAGCCGACACCTGGCATCTAGAGCTGACTTGGACAAGCTTGTGTCGCCGAACCTGCTCATTTTTTAGCGTCCTCCACAACCCAAGAAGGCGCACAATGTACCACGACCTACGCAAATGCAACAGAAAGAAGCTACACTGGGTAGTGAGTTAGAGTGACAGGACGGACGCGGCACACAGAAACATGCGCGTGGCCGAACGGCTCGAAGCTAGACTGAGCCTGTACCCCACCCAGGAGGCACTAGCAGTCCAAATGCAGCACACATAACACAGATGAGGGTAAGCCAATAAAACCAAGCCATCGACATCCGCCCGAATTGGGCGGGCGGAACTGCCATCAACGTAATCTCCTTGATTCTCCTGTAGCGCGCAACGCCGGCGATCATTGCGAAAACCATAATTCCCAATACGGTCAGGTGTGACACCGTGAAGCTGGCCTTGGTCCATATAGCACCGCTCGCCTCCCAAGACAGGATGAGTCAAAAGCTGATGACAGAAATGGAAAGAAGCTTGAAAAAATGGAGGCGCAGGAATGAGCGAGAGGAGCAACAGAGAAAGGAAACACACCAGACGTCGAACACCCACATGTTCATTGTGCACACACGTACAAATCGGTCGGAAGAAGTAGGTAAAAGCATGATTGGAAGTAGATTGGGCTTCCGCCCGCCCACTGAAGATGAGGGAAAAGAGAGAGCTGCGCGACTCTTGAAGTAGGAAGGCGGCTAGAGTAGATTGAGATCTGGAGATAGAGGGCAGGAAAGCAAAGAGGCAGGGCGTCTCCAAAAAAATCAAGCAAGTAACGGGCAAGGGGAAGAATAGCACGAACACCAGGAGAGGCAGGTGTGGATTCGCAGGCCCAATGGGCCACCGGCGTGCTAAGATCTCCAGTTGCAGGCCACAGCCGGCCCGTCTCAGAAGGATGCGCGATAAGGATGCAAGGGCCTTGGACGCTCACCCCGAAGCTTTTCGGGCGGGGCGCGGCCAACGAAAGTGGCCAAGGATGGACCGAGGAGGCAAGGATGCAGGGTACCCTTGGGAAGGTTGCACGTCCTTACCATGCGGGTTGACTGTAACCGTGGCTCTACTTCGCGCGCGCGAGGCGGCCCGCGGGGGATCCCTGGGCGAAAAGAAACCCCCGGGCGCACCAAGGGTGCAGCACGGCCCCCCCTGGCCCAAAGATGCCGTGTTCTTCTCATGGGTGTCGTCCTTGGGGCTTCCACGGGCGCTCCAGGAGCCTTCACGGAAGCCGGCAGGAGAGCCCAAGGGGGTCCGAGACAGTCCAAAAGCGCTGGTCTTCGAAGGTTCGGGCGTCACAGCCCTCTCGGGCTTCCGGCTGCACAGAACGGCCCAAGAGGCTTCCAAACCACCCCAAGACTGCCCGAGAGAGCCCCAGGACGGTCCAAGAGGGCCCCGACCTGTTCCAAGAGGCACCCCCGGAGGGCTGCGGAGGCCGCCAAGGGAGCCCCGAGAGGGGGACTCCGAGCTGACATGCCGAGCCCTCTCGCAAAAGATGGCCAGCCCTCCAGAGCCGAGGGCCCTCAAGAGGGCCTGGAGGCCCAAAATACTCCCCCGAGGGGCCTCCAAGAAGCCCCAGGTCCCAAAATACTCCCAAGAGGCCCCCAAAAAGCCTCTCAGGAAACTCCAGAAAGGCTTCCTGTCCACGACCCATTTTGGCCCCAGGAGTGCTATCGAGAGGCCTCCTTCTCCTCCTCCACCCCCTCCTCCTTCTCCTCCTCCTCCTCGACTTTGTCATCCTTCTAGCTCGCAATGAGCACGTCAACAGAGCAACAGCGTTTCAAGATGGAACGGCGGAATGAGCGAAGCTGTTGATAACAGCACAAACACCAGGAGAAGCAAGTGCGAAAAAGAACCGTTGGTCAGGTGGGCTCATGCTGGATGGAGAATTCGATCTGATGGAAATCGGCTTGGACATCACCCCCTGGGGCCCGAGGGCTGCGACCAGGCCGCACAGCCCAAGAACGACTGGGCACACTCACGTTTGCGTCGGCGGCGAGGCAGGGGTCGTCTGCGCCAGCGGAATGGCCTAAACGGGGACCGTTGAAGCGAATTGTTGGGCACACTCACACATGCTGCCGCGCAATGCTCCCGTCTCCTTGCCGCCCCTCTCGCAGCGTTCAGTAGACCTCGCTCCTCGGAGCTGCCGCAGCGGACCCCAAGTGCTTCCCACAGCGCTGAACGCATCATCTGCAAGGCTTCCAAGGCCTGAGGTGCCCTTCAGCAGAGCGGCGACGTCTAACCCCAGCTCCTCCTCCACTCCTTCTCCTTATACAAACTCCTCCCTGTCGCACCCCGAAACCAGTTTTTAGGGCGGGCCGGGCGTTTCGCCTGAGACTTCCTCACCACTTATATGACCCTGAAGCTCAAAAATGGCAACGGTTTCAAAGATGTAGGGCGGGTCGCTTTCAAAGTGTGGCTCTCGCCTCAGCGCCGCGCACATTCGTTTACAAAAACTGCAAGAGATTCACGGATTGAAGGCGGTTGGTTTTCAACATGTGGCTCTCGTCTTAGCGCCGCGCACACTCGTCTGAAAAATCTGCAAGAGTTTCACGGATTGAGGGCGGGTGGTTTTCAAAATGTGGCTCTCGCCTTAGCGCCGCGCGCATTCGTTTTGAGTATTTGCACAAGTTTTACGGATTGAGGGCACTTCGTTTTCAAAATGTGGCTCTCGCCTTAACACCGCGCTCATTCGTTTTAAACATTTGCCAGAGCGTCATGGGTTGAGGGCGGGTCATTTTCAAAATGTGGCTCTCGCCTTTAGCGCCGCGCACACTCGTCTTAAACATCTGTTAGAATTTCACGGATTGAAGGCGGTTCCTTTTCAAAATGCGGCTCCCGTCTTTGCGCCGCGCACATTCGTTTTAAGAATTTGCAAGAGTCTCAAGGATTCCCATGGTCAACGCACCAGAAAAATGTTCCGGAAGGATTCAGGATTATGCGGGCGCAACAGTTATGTTGATTCGCTGTGTTGAAGTCCCAAAAATGACGTTATGGCACAATTCTGGATCGTCAAAACGCAGCAGTCAGGTTGATATGTTGCGTTGAAATCCGGAGAACAATGTTTTGGCACGCTTCAAGATCTTCCAACTGTTGTCTCCCAACGAGGCAGTTCCCTCATTGGAAATGAACCGTTGAAGGGGCGTATGAAGAGGGAGCTTGGAGGGAGGGTTAATTCCAACATCGTTGATGACTCTCGGCCGCTGACTGTCTCGGCCTGGCTGCCACACTCCTCCTCCTCCTCCTCCTCCTTCCTCTCCCTCCTCCTCCTCCTCCTCCTCCCTTCCCCCTCCTCCTCCTCCTCTTCGCCCTGCTCCTTCCCCTCCTCTCCTCTCCCTCGCCTGCTCTCTCCTCTCCTCCTCATCCTCCTCCTCCCTACTCCATCCTCCTCTCCTCTCCTCCTCCTGCTCCTCCTCCTCCTCCTCCTCCTCCTCCTCCTCCTCCTCCTCCTCCTCCTCCTCCTCCTCCTCCTCCTCCTCCTCCGCGCACGAACTCGTTCCCTCCCTCAGACGGCACGGCTGGAGAGGGGGGGAACTAGACCAGCCGCCTCATGTTCCTCCTCCTCCTCGATTCGACTCAACCCTTCGGCAGCCCAGGGGGTCCGCGTGCCTCCCTCCCCACCTCGTCAACCCTCAAAGCCTTCGGGGTTCATGCAACCCTGGTGGCGCTGCGGCCCCCGACTGCGCATGCGCACAGGTGCGAGCGCCTGCTGGAAGCGGTAGGCTGACCTCTCCTCCCGGCTTGAGGGGCAGCACAGGGCATGGCGGAAGTCGTGCGGGCGGAGGCGAACCGCACGCGCACCATGAACACGGATACGGTGAACGCATAAATAATCCAGGGTCTGGAAGCCGGTGGAACCCCGACGGAAGCCTGACCATGGATATCATTATATCACCACCGCCCTCATCAGACAAGGAATCCTCCAGGGTCTGAAGCCTTCTGGGCACATTCCTCAACGAACGCCCCCTTCGTAGCGAAGTGGTGGAATGTTCAACCTTGTTTTTCCAACACGTCGCGGGTATCTTCACGGAAGAGCCGCCTAGGTGCGGAGAGCAACAACGGTGGGCAGAGTTCTCGAGCTCAGGATATGGGGGGGGAGCCTGGGAGCCAGGGGTGCCCATGTGGGTGTGATGGGCCCAGCGGTCGTAATACAGCATGGGTCAAAAGCACTCCAGACCACCTGGCGCAGGTGGCTTGGGCTTATTCGGCTCACGGTGGGCCTCTAAGGCCTTCAGATGACCGCGAGATGGCCCAAGAAGGCCCTCAGATGAGCCCAAGAAGGCCCAAGCAGGGTCCTGCGGGCGCCAATCGCAACCCAAGGGAGTCCCAAGAGGCATCTAAAAAAGGTCTGGACGCTCCTACAAAGGGGGGGCCTCGATGTTGGACCCCTCCCTCCTGGGCCGGCAGCCTCCGCCGTTGCCCCCAGGGGGCTCCAGAGGCTGCAGGAGGGGGCCCAAGAGGGCCACAGCAGGGCTCCACGAGGCCTCCAAGAGGCACCAAGAGGGCCCAGAGTTGAGCGGGAACCGAGCTGCAGCTGCGTCGCACAAACACAAGTGGAACATGGCGCAAGCTAACACACACACACACACACACACACACACACACACACACACACACACATAAACAAACGAAGCTCTGCCACGCCCAGCCAATCCCAGAGGAGCTAAACTGAGCTGAGCTAGGCTAGACTGGGCTAGCAAAACAAGGCTAACCTAAGTTACGCCACGTCGAGCCAAGCCAGACTAAGATATTACATGCCGAGCTCCGCGCATGTGCGGTAAGCTAGGCTGAGCCAAGCCACAAAGCCAAGTCAAAGTTAGAAACAAGTGCCAACGCAGCGCTGCGCAGACTATTGCATGATCGGTTTGCAAAGCAGTTACAAGGATACATTAACCACTACATAAGTCTCACGTCAGCGAGGCCGCGAGGTCAGGCAAAGCTGAGCTTTGCTCACGAGAACATAGTGAAGGGTACGACGATATGGGATCAGCATGGCTACCTCGAAGGCCTGCTGGCTACCACGGGGGCCTGCTTGGGGTGCTCTCACCTTTGGTCTGACAGGTGCCGCCCCTCGTTGTTTGACCGGTGCTCTCCAAAAATATATTGCTACGACAACTCACCAAAAAGTCGAGTCTGGATGGGCTGGTGGGGATATGCTAGGCATTGAAAATGTCGGGCAGCCTGCGGAGGCAGCTGACAGCTCTTGGGCGTGTCGCGCTTTGATCGCCCGCTCAGGTCATGGGAGGGCGGCCGGGGTGCCTCGATGTTCATGAAGTCGGTGGCTGTGCGCAGGGTTGCCTGTGGCAGTATAAGGCCGCCGAGTGCCCGCGCCCGGCTCTAATTCTCAATAGATCTCGGTCGTCCCGGACGCCATGCGGTGTCCCCATCGAATGCATCCCCCTCCCCACTCACCCCCCGTCCGACAAATCCTTTCGCCGTTGACATGTCCACTGTGCGTCATCATGCTTTCGCGTCATCCGTGAGTCATGAGCGGATGCCCAGCCTGGCGGAGAGACAGAGGAGAGGCCTGCAGGCAGAGAGCCAGTACACGCAGCTGCATAGACTCGACCATGCCGCTCCCACGAGGAAATGGTCCCATGTGGGGATCCTCCGCTCTACAACCATTCGGGGAGGCGTAAGACTCGAGTTGCGAGGGCGTGAATTTGTCTGATGGGGCCTTCAGAGCAAAATGGCGGGAACCAATATGAAATTTGACGCGAGCTCCTGCTGCGAACATCTCACGAAAACTGGCCGTCATGGTTCACGATAGGACCGAAAAAAAAGCGGCGGTAAACCGGAGTCCTGGCAAACTCGAGCCTCAAGCTTCCCCGAAGCAATGAGATTCGCCCAACGTGTCCCCAGGACTGGGGAGCAGGGCACGGGCCAAACAGTGTTTTACGTGCTCGTTTTGTGTTCGCGCTCCCTCGCGTCGGCTTCGACCCATCCCCACTGCCCAACGAGATCAAGCCGATGAATGCCCACGAGATCGCCAAAACACAGTTTAGCTCGAGCCCTGATGGTGAGCGAAAGGGGGGGTCACAACCTCTTGAGCAGGGACCGACCGCCCCAGCATCACTATAGTCCCCAAAATGCTCTAGTAACAAAGCATATTAAACCCGACTTAGAAATGCTCTCATTTCGTGCAGACCACAAAAGATTCTTAGAACATTATTTGGTGGCCCTATAGGCGAGCCAAGACGCTTGAACCTGTCCACAGCCACCCGCTCCCCGAGCATCCGTGCACGCGGCCGCTGCCGCTGCAACCGTTTGTGCCCGACCGTCCCGCCCAAACCCCTCGGGTTCGGGCTCGGGCTTGGCCTCGTGCTCGGGCTTGGGCTCGGGCTCAAGCTCGGGCTCAAGCTCGGGCTCAAGCTCGGGCTCAAACTCGGGCTCAAGCTCGGGCTCGGGCTCGGGCTCAAGCTCGGGCACGCCCCTCCGTCCCTCCCAAACACAAGAGAGAAGCGCCAAAGACAGGAAGTCCCGCGCGACCACTCCCTCAGAGGAGCACCTGGATGAGGACCCCATCTCACCATCGGGTGGGCCAAGCCAACCCTCTTGTACCATAGAAGAGCGGAATCGCCACGACGCTCCAGCGTTCTATGGCTCCCAGTCCAGCGCGCTGCTCAAGATGAAGGGAAGGGTCCATAGCCAATGCGGCGAGTACGCCACGAGCCGCTCACTGCGGGCGATGAGAGCAATGCGGCCAGCGATTGCTTGAAATGAAGGCCATCGCGCGGATCGGGAGCAAGCACATGCTTCCAGGGCGATGAAACATTCAGCATGTGCACGAGGCTGCCCCAGCTTCGACCATCCCGCTGGGCGTGCTGGTACAAGTTGAGAGCGATGTCGCATGTGAGGGAGGGTGGTAGGAAGGCACCCGCACATGTTGCACCTACTGCACCTCCGCACGACCAAGCGCAATCGCAAGGCATGCCAGGTCGAACGAGCCGCCTCACGATGGCACACGCAAGCGCATGAAGCATCAGCCCATCAGTTCGACACGAGGGTGCTCGTCGAGAGCTCCTGGGGATCTCGCCTGGAGATCGACACGCCCTGACTGCGCACCCTCTGATGCCTAAAGGGGACCACTCCAAACCCCCAACAAAGAACGCGCGGCGACCTAGCGGGAAGGAGGGAGGTGAGCGCTAGCCTCCTCCTCCTCCTCCTCCTCCTCCTCCTCCTCCTCCTCCTCCTCCTCCTCCTATTCCTCCTCCTCCTCCTCCTCCTCCTCGACCCTCCTGCCAAATGGCCGAGGGTACCGTGCCCCTGAGTTGACCAAATGGACATTCAACCCCAGGTCGGCGCCGGGCTTGCAAACGACCAGCGATGGAACGCTTATCTCCGCCACCGTAACACTGGCCACTGAGTGGGGCGCCCTCGGGGAATCGGCAAGAACAGGGTTCCTTCTTCAGCGCCCCGACTGCACTGCGCACGGGGTGCTGCAACACTCGAGAAGGCCCTAGCTCTCCAGCGTACAGGCGCCGTCGTGCGCTACGATCCCAGGGCTCACCGCGTGAAGTTCCTACAGGCCTCGGAGTCGTGGTTTGGATGTCAGGCCCCTGACGCGCACCAGAGGCCTGCACTGGGGCTCCATTGGAGGCATACTGGCGGTCTACAAGGCCTTGGGGGTCGGCCGAAAGACCCATTTTCATCTAAGCACATGCTGTTTTGTTATGCGGTGTTCACGTTATCCCCCGTTCGGTCCTGAGAACGTTCAAGGTAGCCCGAAAGCGCTGGGCACATACGATCGCACCAAGACGGCCCACGAACCCAGAAGAGGGGCTCAAAGGCCCCCAAAACGGCACCAATGGAGGCCTATCAAGCAACAACACTGCTCCAGAGACCCCCCACGCTTCCGCAAGACGCCCCCAAGCGCTGCCGACAAGGCCCCCGAAACGACTCCGAAAAGGATCCCAGCAAGACCTCCGAAAGAATTCCAAGAGGCCCAAAAGCGACAAGCACGGAAGACCAGACCCTCCCTTCCTCCTCCGCCTCCTCCACTACTACTACTACTGCTACTAGTACTACTACGACTACTACGACTACTACTACTACTACTACTACTACTACTACTACTACTACTACTACTACTACTACTACTA